GCACTGACACAGTGTGGGGTTCAGTTCCCCTGGCACTGACACAGTGTAGGGCTCAATTCCATTTACTGATACTCTCCGTGTTGAAGTTGTCTTTTATTGACTTGCACCCATCTCCTCTTTTCTATTCCCATATTTCAAGTTAAAAGAAACATTCCTTCAATTCTCCAAGACTATCCCCTTTAGGTGTCTCCCCTACAGGGTTTGAGCAGCCAGACCAAATCTCCGCACCTCTTTCTCTTCCATTCAGTCCCTGCATTGACCCAGTGCATCAGACCTCAGGGTCTGGACTTCTTGTTAGGATCTAACTCTGTCTCCACGTTTTGTATCTGTTGGATTCCTCTCTGCAGTCAGTACTGTGAACCCCTGTGATGTGAAATGCATTCAGTGTTTCTCTCACAGAGTGCACAGACCCTGCAATCTTTGCAACTTGAGACCCCAGCACCTGAGCTTCATTGAAATGCTCCCAAAGTATTGGAGGTGCTGCCAAAGAGAAAACTCAGAGACTGTCTGGCACAATTTTATTTTCTGCTGTGGAGATCAGACTCCAGGCTCTGCAATATATTTATGTTGTATTTATACATTATTTTTTAAAATGGCAATTTGCATTTGAAAACCTTCTTTTGTATTTATGAATTGTCTGTTGGTTGATTTGCTTCTTTTTCCAATAAAATTGAGATGAAATGAGAAAATATTTGTCTCATGAACCTGCGCAATTGTTTTGGGTAAATTTTCAATTTATTGATATCTTTCACTGCACAATGTCCAAATCGACACTCAAATCTACTCCGAAACAATTCCAATGTTATTTCTCAAACTCCAAAATAATTGACCTCCATGAACTGATTCACAGAGAGCCCCAGGAAAAGGATTCCCAACATCAATTTTGCCTGGTAACACTGAGCCAAACGCAGAGAATGCTGAAGGAATTCAACAAGTCTGTCAGCGCCTGTGGAGAGAAACAGAGTTAATGTTTCGAGTCCAGTGTGACTCTTTTTCAGAAGTGCTGACTAATACTGCGGGAACACTGAGTGTCCCCTGAAGTTCACATTATTATAAACTAACCCGGGCTAAGAAAGAACAGGAGGGCAAAAGAGAGGAGTGGTTTATGGAGGGACAGTGGGAGGGCATGAAAAGGGGGATTACGGGGGAGGGAGGAGAGAGCAGGAGGAGGTAGGGGATGAGAAGGTAGGGGACAGAGAGGGAGGGAGAGGAGAAAAAGAGAGAGGAGGGATGAAAAGAGATGTGAAATAGGGAACAAGAAAGGAGGTTGAGAGGTGAGAAAGAAGGGGACGAGAAAAGACGGAGGGAGAGAGATGGGGAG